GCATTTGGGTTATTTTTGCTGAAATAAGATCAGCACTATCCAACCGTACATTAAGCCATTACGAAAAACAACTGACTCAGAAATCAAAATGAAATACTTGTGATTCCAAAAAATAATACTGCTCTGTCTACTGCAATTTAAAGAAGTGTTCATCCATAAAATATGGAAGTCCGCTCATCATTTCTACACAGAAGAGACTTCACTTTCAGAATAGTATATTTTTATTATGCCACTTCCTTTATTCAAACACAGGTGATCAGAACTGCCACTTCTGAATGCCAAATAACAAAAATTTGCAAGTGCATTACTACCTACTATGTAATGTGGTAGAATATCCTTAGACAGGTATGGAAACACAGATGATTATACACAGTTTAAACCTAAGATTTTTATAAAAAAATTTTGAAAAAATCCCCTGAGCATGAGAAAACTGTATTATAATCTGCACATGGGTTCTGCAGTGGTTGAGGGATGCAAGAAAGAATGAATGATCAGACTGCCAAGCATCACCTCAGCTGAAGAGGGAGGAAGGAAGGGTCAAGAAGTGGACTCTGACTGTTACTTGGCATGAAATAGCAGTGAGGAAGAGAACTTTTGCTCCCACTGCCTGTTGCCCAGCAGAGGGGCTGAAACTGGTGCCTGCCATTGATCATAACCTTGCTGCACACTAAACTTTCAAGAAACGTAGTCTAGTCTACACAACATCTTGCCACCTTGGCAAAGAAATGTAACTGAAATACAGCATCCAAATCCTGTGAATTCAATAATACCAATTATACAATCGTCAAATTGCCCTCCCTGATGAGTTAATAAAATGAAAACATGATTAAAATACGTCTTTTTCACCTTGTCCTTTCTTCCCATGTGTAGAAAACGACCTCTTTTCTGCAGCACCAGGGAATACTACATTTCTATTTTATACACAGAAAAAATTACTGCACACCAAATAAGCATGGGTTTCACCAAAACAACATGGAAAAATTCTTTTATCTTCATGTATAAATACATTTTATTTATACTGTTTCAATTTTAAACAAAATTCCAACAGTATTACTAATGGTAAACTAAAACCTTTTTTGAACCCATAAGCAAAAGTTGTGTTTGGTTTTGTGACATTAACAGTACACACCAAAGTCCACTGTCACTGAATGAGTCACATTTTGCTAACAGCTCATGTCCCATATTTAAAATTTTTCGAAAGCACTGTGACTTTTTTCTAGAAAAATTCAATTATTTCTCCAGGCCGCAAATATGCAACCCGTACCGACTTCCTGTCTATGAATTTAATCCCACCAGCTATGAGTTAGAGTGCAACAAATCCTGCTGATCAAGTTTCAGAACAGATCACTCACCAGACTTCAGGAGCTGGAATTCTGAAATTTCACCAGCCACCACAAGAGCTGATAGCATGGAGTACACTGGGTGAAGTTTCTTGTTACTTTAATTAAATCTATGTAGAAATACCCTAGACTAATCTTTACATAAGCAAAGATATTAAGAAAAGACCTGTTAGATCATGGAAGCTTGTTCCTTTCTATACATTTTTTACTGTGTTCCCAAGAATATTTTAAAATACATCAAGGCTAGAGCACTGACTACTTCATTAGAAGACCATTCCAGAATCTTACCAACATGACCTCTAGGAGCATGTTCCTCCTACTACTCAGTTTCTTGGTTTTATCTGCTGGATGAAAATACATCTTTCTCATTATTCACACACCTCAAACACTTGGTGCCTGCACTATGTATGGCCGTGTACAGTAAAGCTATTCACAGAAAGAACAGGTAATTGTTTCAGCAGAGGTCTGCTCTGTGTTAGGTAAATGAAATTTAACATCTCACACAACAGTCATCACAAAGGAACTGTGATGTTGTGTAACTTCTTTTTATTATTTTACTTGAAGCAACAGAAGTTACATTAACAATAAAATGTTGTGACATGAAATCCCATCCATAATTTCCCATCAAAATGCTATAGCAAAGATAGACAGCAAAAATATATATTGGACTGATATAACTGTACAACATTTTTAGATTTACTACAGGCTTTCTCATCGATAACTGGATTTGGAATATCACTTGCGCAGTAATACCAACGCACACACAAATGAAAACCTGTCACTGTTAGATTCACAATTCCTGTCTATTCCTGGCTACCAAGAACACACTGCAATTTCAACAGGGCTAGGTGAAATAATATTTAATATGCTGCTTGCACTAACCATGGTATTCTGATAACAGAAACATTAATAAAAAACAAGTACATACTCCACCATTTTTTGGAAAGCATCAACACAATCATGCTTACAGCAGAGGTAAGACAGTTCTGTGTACTGAAGTGACAGCAGCAGAACACCTGTGCCCTGCTTACAGAAAAATGAAACGCAGCTTGAACTGTGTGCGCGCGTGTGCGTAAACTGCAGCGTATGTGGTAATGAAATGAACCTGACAAGCAACTCAGCAGAAAAGGCCATGACAGAGATTGACAGTGCAAACATACCAGTTTTCCTGAAGGTATTTTAATAAAAAACAAATAATCCCCCAAATGACCTTAATTTCAGTTTGTACATTCCTCTGGACTTACCAGAGACAGAAGAGCAATATGCTGTGTTAAGCAACAAAACTATAATCATTCTAAGGTTTTGGTAAAGGGAAACCCACTGAAAAGAGAACTTATAAACTGTTAATATATTAGAAAGCAGTAAGCTCAAGGGAGAGAAGCAAAGCAGAAGGATTTTATACTATTTCTCCACAAAACAGGGGAAGAGGAACATTAGTGTAACTAGAGCAGGAGTCCCTCGTGGGGATGGAGATGTTAATAGGGTGGAAAAATGACACCCATTTTTCTTAGTTTAAGAATACTGATACAGAACATTGTTTCTACACACATTCATGCTGTGTAGAACATCGAACCATAGAAAGGTTTGGGTTGGAAGGGACCTTAAAGACCATCCAGTTCCAACCCCCCTGCCGTGGGCAGGGACACCTTCCACTAGACCAGGTTGCTCAAAGCCACATCAGCCTGGCCTTGAACACTTCCAGGGATGGGGCATCCACAGCTTCTCTGGGCAACCTGTGCCAGTGCCTCACTCACCTCTCCGGGAAGAATTTCCTCCTGATATCCAATCAAAATCTACCCACTTTCAATTTAAACCCGATATCCCTTGTTCTCCTCTAGTATAGGATACGATTTTGGAAACCTCTAGAGAAGCTAAAAAATGCTCCAAGAGTTTCATTTTTACTCAAGTTCCAAACAGAACGTTAAACTGTTAATCTTAACTTTAAGTAATCACTGCAAAATTTGTCTACTGATATTATGTCCTGAACAACACATCAGTTTGTGTTTAGTAGGAATAGTTTTATACCAAAATAACTACTTTTGCCAAAGAATTGTATCTAATGGGACATACCAAAGGGGGCCATCACTGAACCTGAGGATTAGATCTGGGAAAAACAAAATTCTTTTTCTATTATGCATTAACAGCTGGCTTTTGCAACTTAACAGTCAGGTTATTTTAATTTTTAATTCAGGTCTGGGACATTAAAAAAATCATCATACTTCTTGTATCCGGGGACTCACAGTTTCCTGAGTGTATAGCTTTAGAGTTAAATATTAAGTGTGGGACTAGGTTATCGCACAAAAGATTTCACAGAACTTTTTGTGAGAGAAATGGTGAGAGATCTCGGTATTCCTACCAGAATAGAATGTATAGAAGAATTTACTTAAAAGATATTCTATATTTAATTCAGCTTTTTCCTCTCCTTGATTGTGAAATTAAAACTTAGTTAAACTTATTTCAACACTCATGATACTCCATTAAAAAAAAAGAGGTTTTTTTTACTGCTATTCCCCACACCCCCACCCCCAGCCCCCTCTTTATCAGACTTTACCAAATGAGGAATCTAACCAACCTGCTACAGCTCCTCAAAACACTCTTTGTACCTCTCAAGGTAAAAAGCTGTGAGGAGTTTCTTGTCCATTTTTATTAGAGGAATTAAAAAACAGAAAATAAACCAAAACTGATGTCAATCCTTCTTCATAATATATTGATGCAGTAGCAAGAATGAAACAGGGAAATGGAAAATCTCTATAGCTCATTAGCTTTCTCCAAATTCAACAAATCCAACAAATGACAAACATCTCAATTCTGCTACTCGAGGACTCAAAAGAGAGGGAATAGAAAACTTGTCACGTTATTTATGTCTAGCTAAACTGTCACCCTAACTACTACTCTGCAGTATTATGATGTACCAATTACCAAAGATTAAACCCTTATTTCCCAAACTGGGTTGTATAACAATAGTCACATTAAATATTGCAAGCAATTCCATGTTCTGAACTTCTGGTTAGCTCAAATGCCACTTTTTAGGATGTACATATCTGAGTTAATAAGAATTGCTGAAAATGCTACCGTCCTGGGACACTGAAATAACTACAGACATACTATGAAAGTTTCACTTCTGAAAGAACTGCTTGGAGAATTTCTATTATTTACATTTTCATATTTACTATCATATTATATTTTAGCACTATCAAACACTATGAAAAAAAACCCAAGAAATTGAAAACAAATATACAGTTAAAACAAGCCATTCATAATATTCTCCAGTGTTGACAACTACACAGACTGAAAACTTAACTTGTACTTTTTGGCCAATGCTTAACATTTCAAATTTAAAAAAAGGAATCCAATAAACAGTTTTTTAAACAATCATGTCAGAAATCACTCTTTTCAATTATTTTAGTAAGTAGTTATAATTCAGCCAACATATAAGCCTGCATCTAGTTCTGGGTAAGTTTATCATAACACCCAACATCAGTAAGTGTAATTCTGGAGCATTGTCCATGATAGTCTATTAAAAAACTTCCACTGACTTTAATCATCTTTAGAATGAACTTTCATACCCATCATGTATCTCCTGTCATAACTGTCTTCATTTTGACAATGTAGATAATGTAAAAAAATACAAAATAATACTGGTTTTCAATAAAGACTTACCCTATAAAAAGCAGTCGTCAGGGGTAGCAAGGCTGCGGCAATGTTATATTCTTCTGAAGATGAACAATCCTTCAAGAGAAATACACAAAGAAAATAAGTAAAATAATTTTCAGTAGTTTGTAATTTCATTTCTGCCTTATGGAGGCTCTCTGATATCCTTCCTATACAGAATGTAACTTCTGATCACTTGATATGTAAGAATAACATGTATTTATGTGTGCACATATACATATCCTCCCTTGATTTCTGAGAGACAGGTATTGATATGATTCTCACTGCCATGTCTGAAATAGAATTTCAGCAACATAGTTCACATATAAAAAGGAAAATATTCCTCGTTTAGGAAACAATAAAAAGGTAGCTTCCTTCCATTTGGGTCAGCACCAAATCCGACTAGAATGGAAGTGATGTGATGACCAAAGAATGTACTTTCCAAAAGTTTACACAAAGAAATTGACATTTATTTAATATGAAATAATCACCTCCACAGCCTCTACAGAAGTTTGGCACAAGGTTAACTTTAAGAGAAGATGAAAACCTATTCTCTTCACAGTCTCAGAATGCTTCATTCAACAGTCAAGTATGTCATTCGTGTCTGTCTAGCCTGAAAAGGGTATGCCAAAGTAAATCAACTAGTAATTGCACTGATGAAAATAGCGATTTTATTACGGAAGTCTTTTAAAAGAAACCAGAATTGGAATGTAACTTAATATTTAAAAAACAAACTACTTGAATTTTTAGGACTTAAAAAAAACAGGACAGAAAATACTCAAGAATAGTTAAAAGAAGATGCTTTTTTAAAATTACTAGATTTTTTTCATCAGCACTTTTTGCCAGCACTGAACAACACAATAATGCACATAGTTCTACTACACAAATGTATCCCCATTCTTCCCCTGGATGATGAATGGCAAAACAGCATTTCCATATGAACAATTAATTTTAACATTTGTAACATTCATTCTTACAATGGGCACTCTCCAACTCAAATCACACTCCTATTAATGATCTATAACATCTGACCAAATTCCAAAATGGAAGTATCCAGCGTTCCTCTGCCAGACTTCTCATTTAATGCCTTCATCTCATATCAGAGTTCTCTAAATGACAGCAACTAGCGAAAACCTGGCACCAACCAACTGTGACAGTAGAAATATAAAATCTGCATTATAGGAACACTCACGTTAAGGATCATTAGAATGTTATTTGTGTTCATCTCACTCTTCTTTCTTAAATGGCTGCTAAGTGATTATGGACTATGTTTAAAACAATTGACCAAAAAACTTATCACAAGACTGTTTTGCTTCTCATTGCTTTAAAAATCCACTTCACCCTTTCCAATAAAAAATACTTCCATCTTCTATTATTTTAACCAAGCTCACCTAAAGAGAACACCAATATCCATACATGGTTAAATACAGTAGCATCTAGAAAACTACTTACATATGTATTCTGAAACAGTGTAAGAGTTCACAGATGTGAAGCTTTATTTCTGCACAGAGTTAATAAAGGTTTTCACGTCTAACTGCATGAGTGCACGTATGCTAACTGTGCATGGGAAACAAAAGGTGTGCAAGTGTTCACACTGGATAACACATTCCAATATAATAGAGGAAAACAATAAAAAAAGTAGACACTGAGAAACTCAATATATGTTTAAATGACGCCTTTCAGTACTGCCACATGTATAAAAAACCTAAATTATTTTGTAAGATGTCAGAACAGCAATCTAAACGACATTGCCACAGCTGCTTTTCATTTTCAATTTCTGCATTATTTCTTATTGTTATCTATATCCTTAGCCTTCATTCAGATTTCAGCACATGCATTTGTAGCTTAATATAAATTTATGATAAATATTGTTAGTATTTTTTCACTTAGAAAGCTTCCCATTTAAAATGAGACTTTACAACCTTTAGGAATGCTCAACAGTTTTCATAGAAATACCTATCTTATTTCTGTAAGTGCTTATTTATAACCAGGTATAAGATGATCCATCCTTGTCGTTTCAAGTTATCTACTTAATCCCTTAGCTCAAATTATTTGTAAGAGTTTTGGCTTTTACCCAAAATATACATAAAAATATCTTTATAAAAACTGAGCAATGTATCTTCACCTAGAGAGCATTCAATATTCCAAGACCTAACATATGTTTCAAAGATATACATCATCACCACATAAACAACACAGTAGATTATTTTTCCATTCCTTCTTGCAAGTATGAAATTCTCCACATATTCTATGTCAGCAATACCCCCTGGACTTGTAGCATGGAAGTATTATCTCTATATATTTTTTCTTCTCCAGCATATGACAAGAAAAGTAAAATGATCTCAGTTAGGAATAACCTATAATACTGCTGTTTTAAGAACAGTGAAATTAATTGTTTATCTGCTTTGTAGCTGCAACATAGGATGCCACAGTTAACAGAGATGTTGCACTGAAAAGATGGCTTCTCAATTTTACAGTCAAACCAAAGTACTGAAAATGTCATATACGTACTGTATGCAATTAATTGAGATTCCTGAAACAAAGCAATCAGCTACCTTATATATAAAAATGTCTTTACCACTTGTGAAAATACATCTCTTACTACTGCTAGAGAAGTAGACAAATCAAATACCACAAAATAATTAAAGCTGTTGCCCCAAATTTTCACAAAAGCTGAAAGACAGCTGGGGAACAAAAATTATTCTCAGAAGATAAATTTCCTAGAAAAAACGTCTTAAAGAAATACGGACTTCCAGCATATCACAGGCAGAGTACAACTTTGAATCCATGCCTAATTGAGTGAAGACCTGGCACATTATTCTGGCCACACTGAACATAGATTCAGACAGTTGCTCAACTCCGTAGCATACTGGAAGTGTTAGAGTAATTCATGTACGTTTAAAATAGTTTTGCTAAACTGAACTGACAAGCGAATAATAAAATGAGAATGTTCTTCCTTACATTACTTTGAAAATATATGTGATTTACTTCTATGTTCCGCTCAGTTTGAATATGCCGCAGAACTCTGGCGGTTAGGTACTGTCATCACAGCGCAGAACCGACAGCGAGGAAGTTACAGTTTGACCACCTGGAGAGGTCCAAGGGACTGCTAGTATCTGGTGAGCACTGATGGCCTGCTTCCAGAATCTGGTAGGTGGCTTAGGCCTCTGGTACCAGAGAGGACAGGCAACTCTTCTCCTCATTCCTTATTTCAGAACAAGTACTGACCTGAACACTGTTTGGAGAAGAAGGTATTGTATGTCCCCGTTAAGTGAGATGCCCTCCACAATCTGATCCTAGCGAGGAACAGCTAAGAAAAGCCACCCCAGGTAAGGGCTCCTTCTGCTCCTGAAGGTGCAGGCCCAGACCCAACAAGGCCCTTCAGCACTCTGATGTCCCACTGACTACAAGGGCAAGCCCAAGCCAGCCAAGCACAGTGGCAGTTAAGCACGAGCTTACACACCTTCCCAAACAGGCTGCAATAATTAACAACTGATACTTAGGGATTTCTACTTTCTCTTAGTCACATGATAAAAAACTAGGAGATAATAAATATTGGTAACACCTGGAGGGCAATTTGCTTCTAAATCCATCTTGATAGTCTCTCTCATTAACTGCTAGCTGACACAGTACGTTTCCCATGTCAAACCACATTCTGCTTTGGGCAGTAAGTTTTTCAGACAGACACCACATTTTTAACAATCTACATAAATCTGAGTATGCTGAAAACTTGAGACCCAATTTTGCTTTACATTCAGCAGCACTGTAAGTAAGTGGAAATACCCACAGGCCTGACTACTGCATGGAATTACCGCACGACGCACTGAACACATTCGAACCGAAAAGGTAAACCTGGCACCTCTAGAGGCAGACTCTTCCGGCAGTACCGTATGATGCACACACGCTCCGTTACAATACTGCTAAAGTAACCCTCAACGCTGCACTGTCCCTCTGGAGAAGTACTGAATGCTGTCAAGTTCCACGAAGACCATGCAGGGCTACGCTCATAATGAATCGAGAAAAAAATGCCAGGAACTTTGGAGTCATATTGGTTTTAAAGCACCAAGACAAGAACTGTTGTCAGCATGTTAGGTGACCATAAACTATGTGCAGTACATTGGCTACAAATGACAGGTGAAATATTGGTTCCAAATTCTACAGATGCTTTCAGTGGTGCCAGGATTTAATCCTTATTGCTATGGATATAGTATATGGGCGGAGTATTGCTGAATCATAAAATTTTTATTGTCGAGGCAGTTTATATTTTGGACATATAAAACCTAACATACAGGACTATTCTTTTTGTCTAAAGTAGTAAGAGAATTCAGCAGCCCAGTTTAGAATAAATGCTTTGTTTATTATAAGGAATAGGGATTTACCATGTAGAACTGTAGTTCAAAACTAGAATTGAACTTTAATGATTCAGTATTAGGAAAAATCATTCATTCCACTAGATAAGCTCAATCAATTTTATGCATCCATATACAAATACAATATTAATGCAATTGAACTATTAAAATCGTAGCTTTTATAAAAGAAAACTTATTCTACATTAAGCAATGCTACAACCAATGTCATTTATATTCAAATCTCAGCAGAGCTAAAAATCCAAGTAAGCAAACCAACAATTTCACAAGGTACTGATTACATCTAATATAATTATATGCTGCCTTGTAAGAAAGGTGGAAAAAATCATAATCCAATTTGGAATTTCCATTGACACTTTTAAAAGCATTTAGACTACAATTTTTAACTCCATGATAAAGCCATCATCTGGAGCAACAAGTCAAAACGACGTGTGTTGTTGGAATAACTGCCAGTATGACACTAATTAGGTTACTTATTGCTAACAGGATATAATTATGTAACTCTTCTGGGACCTGAGAAATAGGATGGAATAAAGACATACCTAGGATGCCCATACAGCTGACTACCTGCGGACTTATCCACGAGCAGAACTACAAGAACATACGCAGCAGCTGGAAGAAACTGCCTTATGTGTAATTCTCATTACTTTCAACATTTCTCATTTTGATAAAGATATACAGTCTTTCAAAATTATTGACTCATAAACCCAC